GGGGGCCTTAAATATTGGGCTAGTACGCAAATTTTTTTTTTACAAACTACTTTTGGCATAAGGTAAATTTTTTTTGCTACCCCTAAATTGAATTCAAAAAATAATTTTTTCGGCCCACCCTACTGGACATGTCAAACATATTCCAAAACCTGGCCGCCCGAGTATTAGTGAAGAAACTAAAATCGACATTTTGCTTCGTGTGGAAGAACCTGAGAGTGCTTCTAGTATTACGTATTACGAAGAAAGAAAAGTACCATCCATACAAAATTAGACTAGTGCAGGAACTTAACGGGGTAATTCCATTTATTAGCCACCAATGAGTGCACCTTATATCCTCTAATTTTATTTCTTTTTTAACTGTAAATAGACAAGGACCCAAGAAGTAAAAAAACTCACCTTTTCTTTTCTCCCCCCTTCACCTATTTATAAAGGGCCATGCAAAAGTTACTGTGCACACCTAACTTTAAAAAATTGTACTTTTTGTGCTAATAAAACTATCGACATTAAACAAACTGTTAATTTTTAAGAAAATATTTTTCTTTTAAACCATATAGGACACATTTAGTTATTGATGCCCTAAATGGTCTTTGGGAATTTTTTTTTAAATGCAATTTTTTGTCAAAATTGTCTAATTTTATAAATTCATATATTCTTAGAACAACTTGCCAGCAATTTTTTTTTAATGTAGTTTGTTACCAAAGTTCTTACTCTATATATATAAAAGCAATGAAAACATTTTTAAATAATATTGGCTAAGAGTTTAAAAAAATATAATAAAAATTCATGTTTTCGAAAAATCACTATTTTCAGCCATTTCATGGTTTAAAAAGGCTATTTATGCTTATCAATCAATCAATTTTTAATATATTTTTTTGAACTCTTAGCCAATATTATTTGAAAATGTATTCATTGATTTTATATAGAGTAAGATCTTTGGTAACAAACGACATTAAAAAAATTTTGCTGGCAAGTTGTTCTAAGAATACTTATATGAATTTATAAAATTAGACAATTCAGCTGGGCATATTGTGTATTTTGCTTATAGCTAGGCTGTACATACAACCACAGCCCAGTTAAAAGCAAAATACACAATAATTATATTAATGGTTATTGGAGGCTAATAAGTGCATGTGATGATAAGCATAAATTGGTTTAAATAGACTCACTCAAACATAGCCTTTAAAAGAGAAATATTTTTTTAACAATTAACCGTTTGTTTAATGTCGATAGCTTTATTAGCAAAAAAAGTACAATTTTTTAAAGTTAGGTCTGCATAGTAACTTTTGCGTAGCCCTGTATAAATAGGTGATAGGGGGAAAAAAGAAAAGGGGAGTTTTTTTCACTTCTTGCGTCCATGTCTATTTACAGTTAAAAAAGAAATAAAATTAGAGTATACAAGGTGCACTCATTGGTGGCTAATAAATGGAATTACCCAACGAAGATGATCCGGACCGTAGACTACAATTTTGTTAAACAATGATGAATTTATGTAACAATATTCCACACTTTCCTCGTAAAATACTTTTTTCTGACGAAGCTACCTTCTGTTTCCCAATACCGGCAAAAAGTGAATGTCTAGGCAGGAATGCTGGAAAATCGGATCATAGGTTCCTTCTTCACTGACGAGAATATGACAGGACAAACGTATTCGGAATTTTTGCAAAACTCTTCTTCCCACATTAGCAGAAATGTTTTCAAATGAGAATAAAGGTGCCGATCTACCAAGTGATGCCATTTGGTTTTAACAGACACATGTTTTCCTGAGAGGTGGATTGGCAGTCGAGGACCGATAGAGTGGCCAGCGAGATCTCCAGATCTCACCCCTCTCGAATATTTCTAATAGAGCTACTTTAAATCAAAGGTCTGCATCAAGAGACCCAGGTAAATTTTCCACACAAATAAATATAACTTACGAATCATCATCAGCTTTGAGAAACCAGTCATACGAGTTTAAATAATTATCATATAAATATTTCAGGGATAATTTGGTTTTGCCCCATAAATATTTTTTACCTTCTTTGATCGGTATGCTAATAGCTGGTAAAAATCTATCTAAAATATAAAATGGATTTATAAAATCCAAAATTTGTATTTAAAAAAAAAAATTATCTTACTTGGTTCATGGCTCATAAAAATTAAATAATTACATCTTCTACCCCATGTATTTTTCACATGTCGGGCTTTCCACCATGTATTTTTGGGCACAGTAAGTACCCAACACAGAACTTTAACTTTTTCGTATAAAATTTTGGCTGCAGTAGAATTCGTTTTATTTTTGTGGTACTCGTCTTTTGAATTGTGTTGCTTGGGATCGAACAAAACATAGTCGATTGAATCGTTTATGGTAAAAACACAAATAGAAAAGATATTGCTGGTAAGTACACCCAATAGAAATATTAGTATGTACATTTTATTTCTCCTAAAAAGTCTGATAAAAGATTTAAATTTTTTTTTGTCTGAATAAATTTTGGTAACATATCTTACCTTATAAATGCATTTAATGAAATACTTTTAGCTCTTGTACAAATCATATTTATATTATTTTTTGACACTATTTATATATTTGACAAACTGACAGGCTTATTTTAAATACAACTTTACACCATTAAGAAAGCTTTGCTGTAATAAAAATAATACAACAATTCAATTTATCCTTTTTATTATATAAAAAACATTTTTAATATTAATTAAAACATAATTACACTGAATTAACCTGCTGATTTCAGATCTTATATGGCTAATGTCTAATTAATGATAATTAAAGTAGATTTCTTGGTCTATTTACAAAATGTAGTTATGTACACAGAGGCGTGCTGGCAGAATCAATGCAGGCCTGGACTAGATGGTAGAGCAGTCCAGGCCCAAGCCAATTTGGTTAAGGGTTAGCATAAAAGATACGTGTTTTAGATTTTTTTACGGGAGTCAATTAAAACCAGAGCTGCAACAAGTCAGTTTTAAAAAGACTTAAATCTTAAGTCTTAAGTCAATTCTAAAATCAAAATGATTTAAATCTTAAGTCAATTCTAAGATAAAGTTCAAATGATTTAAGTATTAAGTCTTTGAATTAAATCATTTTCTTTCAAGTCAAGTCATTTTCGCAAATTCTTAAATCAATATTAAGTAATTTAAGTCATCTTACGACTTAATTCCTTTAGTAAGTCGTTTTTATGACTTAAGTCTATATTTTTTATTCAAATCGTGATCTAAGAGTTAAGTCAATAAAATGACTTAAATCAAAAATTGTGATTTAAATCAAAATAATTACCCTTAAGTCAATACAACGATTTTTTAAATGTTAATAATAATTTTATGGTATTAATGATACTGATATTATTAATCTATTGTAGATACAGATGATAATAAACCATTATGTTAAGAATTTAAAACGATTTATTTTCAGAACACTTACAAATAAAATAAAAACTTAAAATACATTTTTTGAGTATATAGTAGACAATAAAAATAAAAACTTAAACCACCTTTTTTAGTAGAGTAGACATACAGGGAGGCTACTTTTTTATATACATAAATGGGTAACTTCTAAACAGTAATAGATTCAAACTCTGTTAAAATAGATAAAAGTTGAAGTATTTCAAAAACTGATAACTTTTTGTTTTGTTAACTTTTGTTAGCTGGTTCAACATCCATCTAGAAAAAAAATATTCCTCCCTTAAGGGAGTAATGATGGGAAGTTCCAAACTCTCGATTCACGACCGCTCAAGATGTACGACTGCTCAAGACTAATTGTTTCCACTTTGCACTAATATTCACAAATTAGACCTAACTACGCACGAACACGACGAATGTTGGCAAACAAAATAACAAAATTATAAATCCCCACTTTTTTTAATTCATTTTAGACAGGACATTTTTTAATGTAGCCGTCAAACGGTTCCGAAAAGCTAACTTTACCGCGGCGGTTTTTTTATCCACTAGCGGTAGCAATTGTAGGTAGGAAATTAAAGGAGTTTTTGATCTGCTGCCGCGTGAACCCATGGCAGTTCAAAATAAAATGCTGCTGTTAAAAATTTATAAAAAAATATATGAAAAATCTGACTTAAATATTTTCTAAAAAGACAAATCTTTTTTTGACTTAAATCGTTTCTATCTGACTGAAATCGTATGTACTGATTTAAGCCTTTTATTAATGACTTAAGTTTTTTCTATTTTGAAAAAAATATTTAAGTCACAAATCATTTTGAAAATTACTTAAATTTTAAGTCTTAAGTCAGTTTTAGAGAAATGACTTATTACCAAATGACTTAAGTCATTAAAACGATTTAAATAAAAAAAAACGATTTGTTTTCTGAGAGCTTGCAGCTCTGATTAAAACTTTCTTTTTTTATTTATATTTAGTGTTTAGTGATATAACTTTTTGTTTGGTATAAAAATCTTTTTTCTATTTGCATAACAAGTCCAGCAGACCACCATGGTAGCGCAGGCCACCGGGCATTCGCCCGGTGTCCCGGCGGCCCAGCACGCCCCTGTATGTACAGAAAAATATAGTAAATGGTATTTGCTTAGTATCCAAGGGATATACATAACTGAATTCTAAGCGTAAACAAAGTCATAAAACAACGAACAATTTTGACTCAAAATTACAAGTGTGTTTTTTTTTACTTTAAACATGCCCTTAAGGGCAATTGCCAATTGGCTGGTATTCTGGAATTCTTAAAAATTTATTACAAGAAGACTTTATTTTTATTCTATTTATATTTTTTCTATGTGTATCACAGTGATTTGAAACAAATTCAAAACTTGACTAATATAAAATAAATAATTTATATTACAATTTGGTTAATTAATTAAATTAATTAATTTGTTTCTATAAGCTTATAAAAAGGTCTTTACGAAAACCTATCACATGTTCCAACTGCGAATTATTAAAATAAATTTTGCAAAAAAGCTGGGTTGAGACTAAAAATGGATACAGTTTGAAAATCCGATAACTTTGGACCAACTAAAAAAAAAATTAATAGCTGGGTATAAATTTCCCAAGTAATCAATCCTACGATTTTTGACGTTGAAAAGAAAAAAAATATTAAACTTAATTTTAATATTTAATATTTAAAAAAATTAAAATATACTTTTGATTCTAAATAATTAAGATCCCAAGGTATTAAATCTAACTAATTACGTGTTGTTTGTGCTACAACTGTAGGTTAAACCAGTATATTTTCGTCGCTACTGATTCAATTAAGTTAGGATTAGTAACACTCAAAACTTGTGTTAACATTTCGAAATAATATTTAAAATAGTTTTGAAAATAATTTAATTTTTAATTAGTTTGGCAAACTAGAGGCAATATAAAAAATCACAACACTTATTAATTAATTTGTAATAATTATCCATTTTTTTATCCCAACCTAGCTTTTTTGATAAAATTTGGTCGCATAGTGTTATTATTAAAGTTTAAATTTGAAAACATGAAGACATAAACTCAAAGTCCATTTTAGGTTACCTACAGTAGTTATCACGATTTTGGTATTGTGTTTTGACTTCTACTAATTTGATCTATCCCGTAAGGTCTTAGATGATAAATAAGATATTCCATCACGTACATTTGATTCGGGCTGATGTAGTGGAAAGAAATTGCCCTATCCGAACAACAGTTAATACCCTAAAAATACATTTTTAATGACAATACAGAATGTTCCACGACCAACACATTGATAAAACAAACAGTTTTATACCATTTGTAGAAGAAGCTTGGTCTTCAAAACAAATGGTAACCGTGACACACTAACTTACCATTGGTTGTTCATCGTAAACATACTGCCAATACCAGAACTTTTCGGATTTTTTATGGGTTAAGTGATGTTCAGGATTAAAAGAAAGAAATCTAAAGCTACCATCGGTGTCTCTGGAATCCCCTGCTGTAACATTTACAGCTGCCAAGCATTTTCCTATTTCCACGTCTTCTGCTCCACTATTCGACTGTTTACAGAGCTTTTTATTTGGAATAGCCTCCTGAAAGTGTTATTTGACATATAAAGAATAGTCTAAAAGAAGCGTCCCCAGGTTTTTTTTAACTCTTTGTTTTGAATATGCATAACTAACACAGATTAAACAATTACTTACATAACATACATAAAAACCGGTATGCTGGTTAAGACACCAGATTCAAATGTTACAAACAGTTTTGCATAGGCATGCACGGGTGTTTTACTACTATTTCTTTTGAGTTTTTTCCGTAATTATTGTTTTTTTTTAAGTATAAACCACGGACGATGGTTTTGCAACGTTTTTCGTAAAGTTTTTACTTCATTTATTGAACAGCAATGACTATTTACAAGGTAATTATAAGCCACGGGTGTTTTATACCAGGTTATTTATTGAGTTTGTGTTATATTTGTTGGACAACCATTTTAAATATTTTCGATTTCCAAAAAATAAAGATCTGACAGCACAGTGGATGAATGCATGCAAGATAAAGGATAAAATGAAAATAAAAAACGGTAAGTAAAGGAAATTTTTAGGTATAGTAACTTTTCACCCTAACCACATATTTTTTACAGCTTGCATAAGTTCTTACTAATAATAAAGATTAAAACACAATTGTATCGGAAACCTGCTTCAAAATTGTCATAAGTAAAAAGCAGTTTTGAGTTTTTTTTATACTTTTGACACTTAAAACCGGGCATGCTTTATTATTACCTGTATAAATGAATCTTTATAATTTTGTTGCCTTTCACATTAAAAATCGCTAAGTTAAGTTAATTTAATTGAGTACAAAATATTTTGAAAAATAATAATAGGAAGGTAGGTTATTAATTGTTGCCTAAAATTTCTTAGTATTAAAAGCGCTTGCTGCCAATTTAACTTTCTCTTAACATTTGTTACACTTCACATTAAAAATCGCTAAGTTAAGTTAATTTAATTGAGTACAAAATATTTTGAAAAATAATAATAGGAAGGTAGGTTATTAATTGTTGCCTAAAATTTATTAGTATTAAAAGCGCTTGCTGCCAATTTAACTTTCTCTTAACATTTGTTACACTTAATAATTGCACCCAGGCCGTGCCTATATTTGTAAATTTTCAAATATAACGTAAATTTGCAGTGCAAATAACATTCCAACCCAGTCACTCACCAGCTATTGGTTCGCACATGACGTCACACGGTGCGAGAGAGATAGCTATAACATGCGCATCAGCATACCGGTTTTTGTTTATAGTGTACTTACCAAAACAAACCTTCTGACTGATTCCTTACTGAGAACATATCCAGCTCCGCCACTCATGTAGCCTTGTTTGACGTATGGTTTAAACTTGAGGCCAAAATATATAGGAGTATTAGGGCTATATGGTTCTAACAGCAACCTTAAATTTTCTACAATGACATACCTAAAAGAAACTTAATTTAATTAGAATTACTCCATATTATCTCAGCTTTTTACTAACGTATCGTCATCAGCTTTCAAGAACCAATCGTATTTATCGGTGTAATTATTGTTATGGAGATACTTAAATGCTTCTTTAGTTTTGGCCCACAAATTATCACGACCATCTTTTACTGGTAAACCTACTGCAGGTAGATTAGTATCTATAAAATAAATAAGTATAGGTATATCTAACGTCACGTCTCTACTATTTATATAATTAACAACTTTTAATTATTTTAACGATGCAAACGATCATCGTCTATATAAGAGACTAAGATTGGATCCATGTGGAACACCAGAAGAACCTTTCTACAGGGTGTTTGTAGTCGTTACACAAAAACGTATCACATATTCCTTAGACCAAAATATAAGTATGTTAGATATTTCAACAAACTTACCATTTTCAGAGCTCATGAACAGGATCTCATTGCACCTTTTTCCCCACGTAGCTTTGACATGTTTGGCTTTTTTTTCATGGTTTTTGGGTCCTGTCATCACCCAACACAAAACCTTGACTTTTTCCGCCAGTTCTTCGGCAATAGTCGAATCAATTTCGTCGTGGTGTTCGTGGAACTTCAAAGCTTTCTCAGGACCTGACGCCAGTTCCAAGTCTTCGTGTTCGTGTATCACGGCCTCGTGGTGTGGGGTGATTTTGTAGCTTGCTTCGATGGGATCGAATGAAAAGAGGAAGGAAAAAAGGAAGCCAGCTACTAGCCCTGTTAGCAGAAGTAGTATACCCTGCTTGGAGGCACTGAAATAGAAGTACAAGATTTTTGTTTTAGTTACAGCAAGTAAACCCAGCAAACGTCTGATTATGTAATGGCCCATTACCTAGTTTCATGGCTTAATAATGGCATTGTTAGACAAAACTTTTCATTGGGCCATTATAGGATTGTTTTGATAAAAATATTCATTTTGATAAAATGCTGTCGTGATAAGGTCTTGCAATGGCCCTTTTCAGGCTAATATTTATTAATATGTCGTCCGAAGAGGAAGACGTGTTAAATTCGCGCTCCAATACAAATGTAAATTGTGCTTTAAAATCGTGTAACAAAAAAGTGACAAATGGCTATAAGTGTTCACTATGCCAATTGGCTTATAATTTCAACTGCTCGGCAAAAAATGGTGAGTCTCATAATGATTTATTCGTTTGTAAATATTGTATTGCAAATGAAATGGTTGCCCGCAAAGTTTTTGGAAGTTCTTTAAATTAATAAAACCGTAAAAAATGAAAACACCATATATGTCAAATTAGTTCAAGAAATGGAAGAAAAAAATGAGTTGTTAAAATAGAAAATAAATAATTTAAATACAAGTAAAAATTTTGTTCCAATGCAATATTCACAAATCCTTCAATTAAAGAAAAAACGAATACAACACAAGAAGTTAAATCTATTTTTAAACCTAAAATTATACGGGGAACTGCAAAACAAGATGAAAATTCTGAAAATACAACAGCTGTAAAAAGGCGCGCTTAGGTGTATGTTGGAAATATGGCAATAGGGTCAGAATTCGTGAAATCGTCACGAAAAAAATGACCACCTTTTTTTTTATTGAAATGTAGATAATTTGCTTCCAATTGACCATAATAATGACTCAACCAAAAAGAAAAAAAATTATAATTTTTTTGTCAAAGTTATTGTAAACTGAAATTTTTTGTTACTTTTTAAACAAAACCTTGCCATTTCTAAACAAACAAATTAATCTAAATGAAATTTTGATAGATCATAGTTAGTTTAATGAAGTTTTGTTATTTGTTTTAGAATTTCCAAAGAAAAATTTTTTTTCATAATTATTTAATAAATTGTTTATAAAAACTTCATATTTTTTTGTGTTCTGGACCTTTTAAAAATTTGAAAAAAATACCATAAAACAATAAAACCCTAAAGAATCTAAATTCATCGAAAAAAGTTTGGAGCCACGATTATTTAAAAAATTATAACCAAAAGAATGCTGCATCAACACTCAGCACGTTGCGGAGAGCGCGTTTTTTACGCGCTGTCAAGGATTAAATTTTTTAATTTTGCAGGTGATAAATAAAATAATCATTTCTTTACATAAGACCACTTTAATATTTATTTATTATTACTTTTAATTATAAATAGTTAAAGTAGTTTATGAACGACAACATTGTTCGAATTAGAAATTTCTTTACATGCTATTTTTCTAGAATCGATAGGCTGAAAAGAATGATACAGTCGCGTAATTGTTTTTGCTTTTGAAAAACGAACTTGCAATGCTGCTTCTTCTTTTTCGTAATCGGCCTTAGAACAAAATTCAAAAACGATGTTTTGAAAAGTTTCTTCTGCCCACTGGAATACTTTATATGGCGTAGTGATCTGATTGTCGATAGGCCGTTGCAAACTTGCACGAGATGCTAATCGTTTGACGGTACCCCCTACTCCATCACATGCACCCTTTCCATGGGAAGTTGCAAAAAAATGCCACTCAGCATCAACGTTAAAATCTGCCTTATAGTGCAATACATTTGTAAGATTATATTTGTTTTTGTATTGAACTGCACACCCGTCAGAGAAAAATATATTTTTTTTTACATTACCACTTAAAAAATCAGTTTTAAATAATCTATCATTTTTTTATTGAATAAGTGCACAGCGACTGTATCATGCCTATTTATTTCTGAAATAATGACAAAACATTCGTTAACAATGTTCCTTTCAAGTTTAAAATATATAACATAAGGATGCAGTGTTGCTTGATCATTTGACCAATGGTAGGATTGAACTGCATCTTGAATCTTAAAGCTGTAGTTTTCCGCAAAGTCGAGGGTAACTAAAAACTCTCCCTCTTCTAATTTCTCCTTTAAATTATTCAAATGTTGGGCCTGTGATTTGGCAACATAATGATGTTTCTCATATAACTACAACTCCTTTTGTAAATTCTTTAAAAACACGTCAAATTTTTCATTTTTTTCAACAAGTTGGCACCTAAAGAAATATTTTAATTTCATTTATAAAAAAAAGTCCATTCTTTCAACAATGTTTTTGGCCTTGAAACGATCAGCTAGATTTTTTGATAGTGGGGAAAAACCTGGACACTCATCACAAATTAACAAATTGCAGGACTCTTCCTGATCGGGACACATCATATTCTTTGTCAAATCATTGATAGTGTACGTCTGGTCGCTTTCTTTAAGCGCAAGATTTAATGCATGAATTTTAAGTTTTATATTCTGGTGTATTTTGCAGACACCGACATTGTGACTGCCACTACAGCCAACAACTACGCAGTTGGCTGGCCTTAACTTTGTAAATTTTGACAGACTAACCTTTGTATCTGGATATCTCTCTAAAAATTTCCCGTGCAGATCTTTGATATTAGAGAGAAGCAGTCTTTTTTGAACACTCTCTTTCTTTCCTTCTATCATTATTGAAATGCAGTCCTTTTTGCCAGGCATAATACGACTATATTCATCAGACTCGTAAAAGCTTCGTATTTTTTCAATAGTAGAATTTGATAAAGCGCGACCAATTTTAGTACTCGGAGCTGCACCAAATCCTGATGATTTACGAATCTTCAGAGCGGTCTTAGCCATGTAATTCGTGACGCCTAACATTTTTTCAATTTTTGCTGCATTCCAATCGATTGTCACGGTGGTTAATAGTGGCAGTATTTTTTTGGAGTCTGTTTCCTTAGATAAAGCAATTTTTATCTCTTTTGCTGTAACAAGATCTTTTTCATGGTCCAATGATAACGATTTTTCTATTTTTGTTGCTTCACTTTTATTCAAAAGAAGTTCTTCTAAAAATAATGTTATTAAACCTGATAGCAACCATAAAAATAAAAGTAATTTTAATTTTACCTTCAAAATCAGATTCATTCGAGTTACTACTGCTAGATATTTCTTCATCTGATTTTTCCTTCGGCTTTGGCAACGGAACAGCAAATTTTTTTTAATGTTTATTCGGCATGTATTGCACACAAATTTTCCGACCAAATTTTAATAGAGATAGCCCCACTCCTCTGTAACTTTTCTGAGTCCCTTATAAACACAATTATGTTTCTCCAAATTCGTAGGGTTAAAGCATGCATTTGGCGATGGCATTTTTAATAATATTTCACTCAGAAACAATAATAATTGCGATGAACTGTTTAAAAACTACCTATCAAAAATTGCGTTTATAAATACTAAGCTTTTTAGATATGTTTCGCATGTTTATTGTTTTTATATAAATTGTTTTTATATAAATAATAACAATATTGTTTACATATTTTAATAAGTATTTTATTCATACCTTATTTATTATTTCATTTTTATAAGTCTCTAAATTCTCCCTACTTACCCCAATGTTTTTTATATTTATTTGTAGTGAAGTTTGTTTAAAACGGAGGATTAAATGAAAATAATGGAAACATTTAGGTATAACTGACCAATAAATTATGTACACTATGTATAAACTACAAAAACTTAATCTAGGACTGTTGTAATAGTAAATAACTTATGGTTGGGTTTTAATGCTCATTGTATTCTATATTTTAACTGGATATAATTATGCATATGAGTTAATTGTTAGAAATCTTTTAATTTTAAATTTGAAAATTATCAAGTAATACCTACCAATATAATATTGGTATATAAATAATATTAATTTAAATAAATTAACAAATAAAAAAATAAAAATAGCTCTTTATGATATTGGTACGGATAACAGGTCTCTGGACAACTAGGGTATATTTAAAGTGTTGGGCAATAAAGGATTTATTTATATACAATTACACTGTGCGACAATTTTCGGGTCATCGAAATCAAACCGCACCGGACCATTTTTTTCTGAAAATATACCTATCCAATAGCAAAACCCTCGCTGGGTTTGTAAAAGTTAGCTCGAATTTTTTTTTTATGGCCATTTGTATTTTCGAGCTTCATATACCCCAATTTAGACCTATAAATCGATTTTTTCCGCATATATTCGATTTATATCGTCAAGATTTTTTGTAAAAATGTAGTTACTGAACAAATAAACTCATTTTGTGAACAACCTATATCCCAAAAACCCAATTTTTGGGACCAAATATTCGAAAAAATTTTTTTTTTTATTTTTTGATAATATTTCAAATTTCTTGCTACTTCTTCTGGCAAAAATGTTGTAAAGTATACCAAAATAAGTAATTTATAAAATACGCAAACAAAACTGAACAAGATTTTCCAAAATATTCATCTTTTCACACTCAACACCAAATATTTTGCCGAAAAATCTGTAGGAAAAAATTGAATAGATAAAATAGAATTGTAGAAAAGTACAGAGAGTTTGATTTTTTATTTTGTATTAATTTTATTATTAAAAAACTTTTTTATATCAAAACATTGAGTAATCTGATTCATTGCTGAAGAGTTCCATCCCTTCCACTTCTTCTCCTTTATTTCCTTGCTCTTCATTTTCATTTTTGATTCATCACTGGAGAATTTCATCCCTTCCACTTCTTCTCCTTTATTTTCTTGTTCCAGGGCTCCCACACCTCCTAAAATTCATAAAATTCCTAAAATTTGGCTTAAATCTTAAAAACTCCTAAAATTCTCCTAAAATTGCCATCAATCTCCTAAAACTCCTAAAAATTAAATATAAGTAGGCCAACTTTACTCGGTTTAATTAAGGTAGTTGTGCTAAAAAATTTCTTTTTTAAAAAGTAATTTAAAAAATATATATTTTTGGTAAACATTCAATTTTCTTAGTTTCTTTAAGAAACTTTCTTGACCCATCACTGGTAATATTCATAAAAAAATTGATTGCGGCAAAGGCCACGTCGTTTGACGGTGTGGATCACCTGATGTTCTTACATCTCGCCTCTGTTGACTTAACAACCGAGCATATAAGCTCAGGGAGTAATTTGTTTTGATTGTGTTCCACTACACCAAGTTGCCCGACACTGATGAGACCCAATAAAGGTCGAAACAGCTGTCTGTCGGTATTTGAAGTTGGTGGAACGCATTCAAAACAAAAAACTTTGGCGAGGTGTAGGTTCAATTTTTTCTTATATATTTTTGGGTTCTAGTTTATTAAATTCTTTTTAAAATGATATAGGTATCACAACCTACATTTTTCTTAAAAAACAACAAAATATACCATAAAACAAAATCCACGTAGCTTTTAGACTTCTACAAAATTGTCATTTTTAGCCATATTTCGTAAATTTTCAACAAAAATATACCGTGTTATATATCAAACAAAAGGATTTTTAATTTTCTTTTAAATGATAGCTAAAATAGTAAACAATCTAAAGAATGTTTTGCTGTAATCATGCACTTTATATTTTTTCTATTATGAGATTTTTTAGTAACAATAACATTACGATTATTGTTAGTTATTAACTAAACTGTTAATTTTTTTTCTTCAAAATATAAATATAACATCATTAAACTTTGGCCTACTTTTTTAGCCATATCTATCGACGCTTTTTTTTAAATAAAATTAAAAGTGGGGTGAAATTTTTACTTGCAGACATATACAAAAGTAGTAATTTTACCTCACTTTTCATTTTATTATAAAAAAAACTCGTCGAGCGATTTGGCTAAAAAACTAGTCAATATAACCTATTTGTAGTGATATTTATTTATATTTTTGTTAAAAAGAATTTTTTTCTTATTTTTTAAGTATAGTGTAAAGTTGTTTTTATTTAATTAAATAAATTCATTTGCATACTTTTTTCTCCTAAAATTCTCCTAAAATTCTCCAAAAAACCTCCTAAATTCCTAAATAAAATTTGTAATTTAACCGTGGGAGCCCTGTTGTTCTTCATTTTCATTTTCTTTCTGATCGTAGTCAAAAATATGTTTACTTCACCAAAATGTTTCGGCTAGTATGGCATCTGGAGCTCGTTTTTCTCTTTATCTGGACTCAAATGGCATCGCAGTTTGATGATTGTGTCGATAACTGTCGACTGAAGTAGTCCAAATGGCGATGAGGGAAATGAATTTTTAGCGACATATTGACTCCAATTTTGGAAAAAAACATTCAACATTCGTCGCACAGATCCTTCATAATTGGGAGATGTTTGCCTAAAAATCCAACGATGATTTCTCTTATCGACGCCCACGCAACTATCTCATTGTCAACCAAGGCCCTGTCAAAGTTTTCTGAAATGAAATGAATATAAAAAATATATGAAATGAAGGGATGGAATTCTCCAGTGATGAATCAAAAAATGAAAATGAAGAACAAGAAAATAAAGGAGAAGAAGTGGAAGGTATAAAATTCTTCAGCAATGAATCAGATTACTCAATATTTTGATATAAAAAAAATTTTAATAATAAAATTAATACAAAATAAAAAATCAAACTCTGTACTTTTCTACAATTTTATTTTATCTATTTAATTTTTTACTACAGATTTTCCAAAGATTTCGGCAAAAAGATTGGTGTTCAGTATGAAAAGATGAATATTTTGGAAAATCTTGTTTAAAAATTGTTTTCCAGCAAATAAGTAAACTTAAAGTTCAGTTTTGTGTGCGTATTTTATAAATTACTTCTTTTAGTATACTTTACAACATTTTTGCCAGAAGAAGTAGCAAGAAATTTTAAATATTATCGAAAAAATTGAAAAAATTTTTTTTTTCGAATATTTGGTCCCAAAAATTGGGTTTTGGGATATAGGTTGTTCACAAAATGGGTTTATTTGTTCAGTAACTACATTTCTACAAAAAATCTTGACGATATAAATCGAATTTATGCGAAAAAATCGATTAATAAGTCTAAATTGGGGTATATGAAGCTAGAAAATACAAACGGCCATAAAAAAATAAATCGAGCTAACTTTTACAAACCCAGCGAGGGTTTTGCTATTGGATAGGTATATTTTCAGAAAAAAATAGTCCGGTGCGGTTTGATTTTTGGTGTTTCACAGTGTTATTTATTTAACAATTTAATTGTTACATTTTCCGCAAAATAAAAAGTAGAAAATTGCATCACGATGCACCACGCCGTGCAGCAACCATTCTTTTCATCATAATTTATAAAATAATCGTGGCTCAGTTACGTGCCCCTGTATATTAGGGCACATATGCATTTATCGTCTGTGCAGCAGCCTAGAAAAAGCTGACTAAGAATATTAGGTTATATATACCACTTCAATCTAATTGTGAACTTAGTTTAGCGTAATAAACACTGTTGTCTAGTTCGAGTAAATTTGTGTGTTATTACCTACCATCATCCCTTGTAACTAAAATAAACTTTTTAAAAACGTTTTATTACAAACGAAAAACGTAATTGGCGCAGTCGGTAGGATTTTTTCGGAGTTAATTTTGTGAAAAATAACGTTCGTTCCAACTTTTTACCGGAAAAAAAGGACATACAAGTTACGCGCTTCGAAGAAGACACCTTCGAGGAAGAGCAAGACAACACCAGCAATCCTGAGGGCAACCTTGCAGACAACGCCGGATTTCAATAAATCTGTGGACCTGGAATTACTACGTAAACTCAAGAGCTTTTTGGTCGATACCATCAATGCTGCGACGCCGGATCATCCCTATGTTCCTGAACGTCATAATTTCGTAAGTTATCAAAGATTTTAATAATATTTTATAATTACTTTATCGCGAAACTAAAAGTTATTCGCATAAGTTAATAGGAATATCCTATTTACCCTATATCATATATAAATGGTTTTGTTCTGTGTATCAAGCAGCTAAACTTTATATAATTTTAATACCTTAATAAATAATTTTACTCAAGTATAGTCTGAGTTCAATTATCGAAGAAAACTATTAAACTATTAATTAAGTATTTTAATAAAATCATTTTAAATAGTGAAAACTGGAGGAATTAGTTTCTTCTTTAAGTCAATTAAATCTTGTTAACGAAAACGAAACAATGCCACCTCCAGATTT